TTCTCGTAGGGGCGGTAGTGGTATAAATAAAATACGTGGCTTCTTACGTACCAGAAAAAATAAGATATATACGTGGCTTTCGGTGATAGGTTTTGACAATTCCATCGCTATTTTTTTTTTTTAAGATGCAAATTCCCTCGCCTTTTTATGTCATGTAAAATATCATTTTCCTATGGCAAGTTGGTAATGGGCATATTGGCTTATGTCAGGTTGTTTGTCTCGATAAATAATTCTTTTCTTTTCCTTGGTAAAAAAATTCTTTTTTTTTTCTCTCTCTATATAAAAAATACTTAATCATGTATATTAAGAAAAAAAAATTAGTTGTGTCGGGTCAGAGAGTTGCGAAGATATCTTGATAATTAGAGTTAGAGGTTTTTTTTATTTTTCAACATTGAAAAATTTAAAAGATGAAAAATATGTTTTTAAATTATTAGTGAAAATGGAACTTTTGACCAACTAAATTTAACCACTTGAAAGTTTGAAAATAAACAATTGATCCCCAAAACTTAAGTTGGAGACTTTTTGTTTGAGTACTACTCTAGAATTAGAAGGGGAAGATTTGGAGAAGGAAAACACTAGCTATTATTGTTGTATAGCAGCATAGATAAATATCTTCTAAAAAAATTGGGTTTAACAACTTGTAGTTCATGTTTTGGTGCAGGGTCTGGATGGATGTTTTATTTTGTAATATTCATTCAAACAGCTATCAACACCGGGATTGGAATAGGAGCAATTTTGCTTGCAGGGCAATGCCTCCAGGTACAATATTCCATTGGTCCTCCATCTATATATTTACTTCAACAAAAATATACATTGGTATTGCTTCCTATATTGGGTTGCTAGTCTTCGCATTGATGACCAGAAGTTATGTGAAATGTGAAAGCCTCTTATATATGCTCTTCTGGAGTTTGGTGATGTTGAAAAAGGACCATACAATCCAGTTTTTCAAAGATGATGATATGTTAATTAACTATAATAGGCAATCTTTTTCATATAAAAGATAATGACCCTTCTTGGATGGTTTCCTCTGGATATTTTCTTTTGTTAAGTGTATCTACTTGAATGATTACTAGTTACAATTGTGCTGGATGTAGTATGGTACTAATTAATTATTCCTTCTTCGTCCTTGGTTGTGAAAAAGATCATGTACTCAAACCTTGCTCCCAGTGGATCCTTGAAGCTGTATGAGTTTATTGCAATGGTGACTGTGGTGATGATACTTCTGTCTCAATTTCCAACCTTTCATTCCCTCAGGCACATCAACCTGGTGTCACTCCTTCTGAGCTTAGGCTACACTTTCCTTGTCGTCGGTGCTTGTATACATGCAGGTATACAAATCGTACACTTCCTTTCTAATCATTTCATGGTTGATGTCTTGAATTCATTCATAATAAATATGGCTGCCTGTTAGCAGTCTACTCCACGAAGTCATCAGGGCTAATTAGAGTAATATGTTTGTGGTGGGGAATCATTAAATGGTTGGCCCGCCAGTCCTGATTATTGCTTCCTCCTCCTATATCCTGAAGTAGAATCTCAATTATTATATTTAGGGATTTTGCTGACAAGCCAGCATGTGAATAAATCAATGCCGGTTTCTCTTGAATAAATTTCAGTATTGAGCCCAGACAGTAAAGTGTATGTTTAGTTGTGATAAAAAATGGTGTTTCTAGTAAAATTTCTAAAGATTGATAAGTAACATGCTAGGTCTTTCATAGTCTAAAGTAATATCTAAAATTTGCCTTTAAGCCCTGATGGGTAACTTGCAAGGTTTT